AAAACAAAATAATCAAGTTTTTTAAATATTTTAATTACTCCGAGGGCATTCCAATTTCGTTAAAAAAAAACTTTAGAGTGTAATAAAACAATACACAAAATTTCATTAAAATCGGTTCCATAGTTTTCGCAATATAAAAAAAAATTGAAAATAATTTTTCGAATTTTCAAAATGTCGCGGTCTCAAATAAAGCATCTAGATACTGAACAATTTTTTTACATAGAAAAGACCGCTCAACCTTCCAAATGGTTTTTGAAAAATTGAAATAAGTTGATTAGAACGGCCACAGTAAATTTTTAAAGTTAACACTTTTTTATTTTGAAACAATTAGATTACATTTATCAATTTGCAATTTACTTTTTTCAAGAAATTATAATTTGAAAGTATACTAGTTTTTCTTAATTTTATCTGCATTTAACAAAAAATGTAATTTCCAAACAAATAAAAAAATGTTTCATTTGTTTAAACAAAAATTATTTAAATAATTGTAATAATTATAACTAAATACATTCATATACAGAGTGTTGAAACAAATTTTTTCATTGAAAAAATGCAATAGCATAGGGTAAAATACACAGTATATTTAATGCAAAAATAATAAACTTTGTTTATATAAAAAATATGTGCAAATTGGCATTACTATATACAATTGTTTAAAAATTAACGGTAAATACCGATAAACTTTGACCGCTTATATCTCGAGAACCAATAATGGAAATTTCACTATATTTTCTTTTCTTTAAAGAAGCCTCTTTCTGAGTACTTTAAAATTATAATTTTTGAAAAAAAACTAAATTGCAAATTGATAAATGTAATCTAATTGTTTAAAAATAAAAAAAAAGTGTAACAGTTTAAAAATTTCAAGTATTAATGCTTTATTTGAGGCTGTGTAACATTTTGAAAATTGGAAAATTATATTTCGAAATATTTTTCAAAAAATTATTTTGCGAAAACTATAGAACCGATTTTAATGAAATTTGGTGTTATTGTATTATATTCAAGTTTTTTTTACCAAGTGCCCTTGGAGCAATTAAAATATTAAAAAAATATATCCAAAAAACTTGATTATTTTGCCTTTCCTTCATCAATTATTACTATTTTGCAACATCGGTAATAAATTTAAACATCTTTAACTTACAGTACATTGTGCAAAATTCAATTCTAAAACTATTTTTCCTCTTCAATATTCGTCTAAAATGCATAGGTTCCAAGATATAAGTAAAAAACGAAATAGGTATTTTTTTTTAATTTTTTAAACATTTTTGTAATTTTGAAAATGTTCCGGACCTCGCCCAGATTTACGGATCTACACTTTTATAATGCGAGTTGTACTGAAGGTATTCCAGCAAAAATTATCTTGCCCCCTCTTACATCCAAGAAGTGGTATATTTCGACAGATACGCCCTGGTCTATAGCAACAAAAAGGCACATCACCAGGCTGCAAGTCCATCATCCGTTCCAGGCGACTAGATTTCAAAGATGGGCAAAATCCGAAGAGGCCAATTGTCCACACTAATGCGGATTTCGCTACAGGGTCTATGCGGACCCATCAAGGAACGTGATCGAACGTCGACTCTCGTCACGTTGTAATGAAACTCCCCAATATTAATATTCGCTGTATTTTGAAAACTGTTACTCTTACGCCCTTGTAATATACAACATTTTTGTTCATTTATGAGCGGTTACAATAACAATAATTATAAAGTAGCAATAAGAAAGTAGTAGATAGCAGTAGCAGTTACTAAGTAGAAGTAACACTCCATTCGTCCAGAAGGAAGTTTTACGAGTATTTCGACTAGTTATCCATTTTCACGTTGTTTTGTCTTTTTTCCTTTCTTGTTCTGTCGTGTCTGCATTTTTTTCTTTTCATTTAATCTGCTCCCCGTCTTTTATCCTATCTTATCGTGTGCCTGTTGTCTCGATGTTTGTTTTTTCTTTTGGCTTATCGGTTTTCTGTTTTTATTTTGTTTATAATGTTGCCTTGTACGGAAAAAATACAAAAGAAACTGTCTCATTGCTTGACCCAAAATTTTACTTTTGTTAAAAAGTGACCTCGGTAAATGTTGTAGATTTTTGCATGATCTACAACTTTTCCATTGGATACTTTTTTGTTTGACGTCAACTTTCGCCAGAAATCCCAATGATAGTTACAATTTTTCACAACCCCCCAAATCGACCCTCCGCCACCCCTGCTCACGCAATTATTTTTTTTAGGTTTATTATAAGCCCTTTTGCCATTTCCACTTATAAAAGTCCAGATAACAATTTTTTTCTCCAAATGTAATTTGGTTGGATTATTGTCTGTCTATTATCTTGGTTTTTGTCGATTTCATTTACAGTTATGGTTGACAAAACGTAAAGTCTTTTCCCAATCCAAATTTTTTGTGGTATATTTTGCAGAAACTACTAAGAACACTCATACACGAAGTACATATAAACGTTACAGAGACCAGTTAAACATTTGTGTATCAATCTACCGATTTATTTTTTAGCATAGAAGCAAACTTTGATTTCCTTTCGAGCTTATTACGAACAATTTTATACTAATACTTTGTAATTTCCTTTTTTACGTCAATATCTAGGTATACCATTGGTTTTATAAGTTGCTGTACAATCAGTAAGTAAAATTTATGTTTTTGACATATCCACTACAATTTCAGTTTTATTTTGTTGTTTTATTTATACTATTGTATCTAATTAAGTTTAAAACATACCTTAATGATGCGAAATGACTTTCAGGACAATGCCAAATTTTACAAATTAGAGGTATTAAAATAAACACGTTATGTCGTTAATGTAGGGAACAAATTAGCGAAACAATTTTTAGAAAAATATTTAAATGAGCCAATTTTTAATTTAAAACTAAGTAGTTGATTTGAAATGTTGTACTATATTTTTGCAGAACCCGAGATAAACTGTATTTCATATACAATTTACTTGAATATTTTAAGTAATACGCCATTTTATGTAATTAAGAACATACTAAAGCATCTAAATAATAATAATAGTACATATTTGTCTGGTTATATGTAATTCCTGATCCTTACTTCCTTATAGTTTGAGTATACCGTTTTGGCAGAGTGTAATAGAAAATAGAAACCAAACCGTATGCATTCCTTCATCAATGACTTTTTTTATTTTATTCGGAGCCACAAATAATAGAGCAATCAGTAAATGCAGAAAAGGTCTTCTATTATTCCTAGACCGCTGCTTGTTTTTGGCTTTTGAATTTCTCCATATGTTTTTCTTTTAATTTCGTGTACTATGGATTTTGGATCACGTCTATTAATGATCTGTCGCAAGGCATATCTTACACGATCATTTTGATTACCTGACATAGGTGACATTTTTCTGAATAAACGACAAATATCCCGGAATATTTTTCATCATTTGGTAACAAAGCACATTCACAACAACGTTACAACTCGGTATTAGATATAATTTTATAACAAAACTTAAAGAAATTTCACTGATTTATCTAGCAAATACTTATAAACATTAGTAGTCTCACGAGAAGAAATAAAAAAAATTATTAGCGCGTTATAGGTATATTTAATAAGAAAATCGCGCTTTCACTAATTCATATTTCACAATCATAGAAAACAATCAAAACTACCGAATCTTTAAAAGCGTAAGCGAATAACCTACACTGACGTCAAATGTACCCTGCTTCCGAAACATGTATGCAAGACAGATAACCTTACACTTAATTATATGTAAGAGACAAAGATAAAGATGTATCCTCGAAGTTCAATCGCAATGGTGGTAGCAGTAATAAAAGTGTCTATAGAGTGATTACTTGCTAAGCACAATAATCCAATACAGTTAAACAAACTAAAATCAAACCTTTCTTTCCTAAAAAGCAATTAATTGAGGAAAATACATAAAGCTTGAAATAAATGTTAGAACTGATACTGAGAAATATCGGAACTAAATACCAACATTTTTCCCCTTTGAACACTTTTTCTTAGATCATTCAACTTTTAATCATTTTTAGAAGGGCTACTAACTATGTTATCCTAAGGATCCATAATAGGTCTATTGTTGGAAAAATTTGAAAGTTTTTGAACCAAAGGATATTTTGTTTATCTAAATAAAATGAATATATTTAAATTACTGTACAAAATTCACCCTAAAAAAACTGAGAGCAGTATATTAACTGAAATAATTTGTTTTTAGCCTATTTTGATTTAAAAGGACATTTCATTGCGTCTCAAAAAAAAACTAGAAATAAAATAAATAAACCTCACAACGATAAGTTAGAAGTTGATTTTTGAAACATATTTCTTCACAACTGCCCACACTTGAAAGAAGCAAATAAATATTCTTGTATAAAAACATATCACTTAAATCAAGTTTCCAACACATCTTTTTTTTGTTACCAAAACAATTTTACTTCGCAAAAATAACATTATTGGTATAGCAGCATTGTTTTCTTTAATCCGGTCTTCAAAATTTGTAACAGCTTTTAAATAATGTCAATAATAACATCTATTTTTAACTTTTCATAAAAAAAAGTCTCCCTTCATTGCTGACTTTGTAAAAGCTCTAGACAAATGGCTATGTTGGCCAATCTATCAATCGCTGTAGTCTTCGACATAAATTGTATTTTAGTTAAACACCTAAATGCGTATGTCAATTGTTTTTTGTATCATATCCAATAAAAGTATTACATTTTCTATAAAAACTTATTAGTACGTCAACAAAATGTTTAACTGACACAAACTAAAGATATACCTACTATTAGACTAAATTCTTGGTAGAAATTAAAAAAAAATGGAAGTAGATCCATGGCATGTGTAGTAAAAGCTTTTAAGACCTTTTAATTGTTGTTATTGGTATTCATCCTGGTTGTGAATAACTACAACACCAATTACAATAAACGGATTACTTGAAACGCTGGAAGATATCAATATGGTGTCACGGTGGATTAGTGAGAAATAAAAACGTTATTGAGTTGATTATTTGATTAAAAACGAAGACAAAATCGCAAACCATACCTTCTGAAAAGTCTCTGTGGTAGAAGTCATCCGTCGTAGAAACCACTTCGTTTTCCCTTTTCAAATTGTCGTTAACATTACCATCTGCCGAAACATTAGCACTGCACTTATTTCTATCAAACTGAAAACAATTACTTTGACTTGCATCACCCTTAAAATAGTTTTCAGGGGAAAGTGGATGATTCGCACTGTCAAAACCTTGTTTCTGCACATCGGAAGACAACAAAGAATCGATAGAAAACTTCGTAGAGTTCTGAGAACACTTGGCGTTAACTTTATCACAAATATCGGACACAGAACCGTTACTGTTATTGACTTCCTCCGCCATATCGTGTCGATTATTTCCACGAAAAGTGCGTGCAAACCAAGTTAATAACGGCTGAAAGATTTTCAGTGCGACTAAAGATATATTTATGCAAATCGCTGAAAGTGAACTTAAGCGAGTTCGTGGCGGTTTCAGGCCAATCGGATCCCGGGGGCGGGGCTACGAATGATTTGTTGGGACGAGGAGGATAATTAAGATAAATGCCGCTATAAGCACATGTTAAATATAAACATATTTTAAATTAGCTTATTTTGAACTGCGGTTCATTGACAATGAAAGCCAAAAACGCAGGGGACACACCCAGATCATTAGTGCGAGGTTGGATGTCTTCATTTCGTCGCTACCGCGTTTCTTATAGTGTTAATAGAGAAAATTAACAAAGCGTTATATGAGTAAACACAAGTAAATAAATAATTCTTAAGTAAAAGTGAATATTTAATTCCATTACATTATTACAAAAACGTGGTGAAGGATACTTAGGTACACTGAAAGAAATGCGCTTTATTCTTAGAATTCTAAATGGCAACATTATACAGGGTTGCAAAATGAAAACGAAACAGAGCCATTTTCAGGAACCGCGTCAAGATTGTAGAAAAACGCACAGACCCGTCGATTTTATATTAAAGGGGGGCATTCTTTGCTGATATTTCTGACTCCGCCACTTTCACCCCCAAGCAAGGGTAAGCATCACCCCAAATTATTTCAATTGCATTGGGGGTTGAGTAATATTTCTTTTGAAAGCTCTTACAATTCTCTTTACAACAGACTTTAAATTTTATAATTCCGCCCAATACTTTGAAAAAAATTACATTTTAAAATTTAAATTATGTTTATATAGTTGCTTACTTACTATTTAGTTGATTAAATGTTCAAACTGATGACCGCCCGCTTCCATACAAGAATAAAGATTTTGTTCGAAACGTTGGCGCACATTCCGAAGCATTTCCGGAGTGATTCGACGGCATTCGTCAATAGTTCTTTGACGCAAATCTTCCAGCGACGCTGGCTGTGTTTCATAGATTTCACTTTTCAGTGTAGAGTGGAGGCCACTCAATGTTGCCTTTTCTTCCATTCCAATTTCGTAGAAAACGTTAGTCCAAATACTAACGGACAATTAACGCATAATGCGGAGGAGCACCGTCCAGTTGAAAAATCAAATGATCTCCATCATACTCTGGAAAATTTTCAATAATATCAGTCAAGGCAGGGTCAATAGCGTCTTCCAGTAATTACAAATACATTTGGCCAGGCAAATCACCAGGTAGAAAAAAAGGACCCACCGGTCACCAAAAATTCCAGCCCATACATTTAATTTTTCCGGTTACTGTGTATGCACCTCGTGAAAAACTCTTGGGTTTGAATCGGACCAATAGCGGTATTTGTGAGATTTACCGTCCCGTTCAAGGAAAAACTGCATTCATCAGAAAAACAGATGTTAAAAAGGAACTGTGGATCGTTCCCTGCTCGCTCACTCATTATTTCGCAAAATTGCAAACGGCGGTCATAATCATCCTCACGAAGTTCCTGGACTAAATGTATTTTGTATGGATGGAATTTATTCTTCTTCAAAATGGTTTGTATGCTAGTTCGATTGATCCCAGACGCATATGCCAGCTGCCTCGTCGTACTTAATGTAGGATCAAGATGAACTTGTCCCAAATCTGCAACCTCACTAGCTTTATTAACTATAGGTTTTTCAGTTTATCGTTTTTTATTGGCTACGTTCCCTGTCTCTTGAAATTTTTTTACTAAGTCTAGAACATACTTCGTCCTGACATGTCGATCTTGATGTTGTTTATTAAATAGCTGAGCTGTTCTATTCGCACATTTATTGTTCATAAAGTAAAGCGAAATGATATCTATCCTTTTCCGCAATGGAATAAACCATAGTGTTTAATTTTCAAAAACACAATTACATAAACTACTATGCTTCCAAATAGAGAATAATTTGGAATCCACTAGTTTTACGTTCATTGTGTGTGTACCTATAGCATTCATTTGTGTCTTTTACAATTGTGGTTTTTTTACGAAAGTGATAACATATCGCCAAAAACCAATGTAAAGCAAGAAATACTAAATTTACCGTTTTTAATTGTTTGTACATAAGTTCCAACTTTAAAATTAAAATTCTTAATAAGTATTGGGCGGAGTTATAAAATTTAAAGTCTGTTGTAAAGAGAATTGTAAGAGCTTTCAAAAGAAATGTTACTCAACCCCCATTGCCATTTAAATATTTTGGGGTGATGATTATCCTTGCTTGGGGGTGAAAGTGGCGGAGTCAAATATACCACCAAAGAATGTCTCCCTTTAATCTAAAATCGACGGGTCTGAGCGTTTTTATACAATCTTGACGCAGTTCCCGAAAATGGCTGTTTCGTTTTCATTTGGCCACCCTGTACACTATATGTGACAGATAAACAGGTGAATATTGGATATAGAACCCATATTGCTAACACAGTCGTATAGTAACTACAAACTATATTCTTTATTAAATTATTGTAGAACTCGTCTACAATGTTATTTATATTCATCACGAAATGATAGCTATAAATGTTATTAAAGTGTTACATACTCGTTATTAGAACATCTGGTATTAACTATAAATACTTAATAAATGTATTAAATGTTGATTTTCTATGAGTTTAAAATACACGACATTAAATTTTCAGATTTTATTGTAAAACTATAATTACAAGCTGAGATTCTAATGTACCTAAACATATAACAAACATTTAAGTATTAAAAATGATGACAAATCATTCCCAAAACTGTCCAGTTTATATTCTTAGTAGCGATGGAGCGGTGTCTTATTTTATTATATTACATTACATGGGAATTTGCATATAAATCTTTCACCATAAGAATGAAACATTTCTTAAAAGGTTGACTTTCTTTTCTTCTAATTCTATTTCCTCTGGTTGACTGACTTACTCATGCTCTTCTTTGTCAGCGCTAGCCTAACAACGCGTATGATAATGTATCCCACAAAACATGTGTATATACTGTAATCTCATTCAACTAGAAGAAGCGCAATAGTCGATGCACAGCGGACTGTCGGAAATTCAAAACCGATGCAGTCAGGGGTGACGATCAGTTAACCATTACAAGATGCGTTTTATACGTTAAAAAGGGAGCCATATTCATTATAAAAACGAATAATTCTGTTAATACAGCTGTTATATTCAGAATCGTATGTTTATAACATTTACTAAATTTGATTATTAAGTCACTGCTTGTAACTCATTGTGGTGGTTCTAAGAAAAAAAATCCTATTTTATTCTAAAAACGGACCATTTTTGACTTATTTTTTAACTTATAGTAAGTAAGCTAGCAAGCACCGGAGACTCTCCCCGGAGTTTTTTCCCGGTCTGTTTCCTCGGAGTTTTCTCAAGGACTTTTTCGCCGGACTTTTCTCTAAGTTTCTCCGAGAAGTTTTTCCGGACTTTTCTCCGGATCTTCCCCCGGAGCTTTTCCCCGGATCTTCCCCCGGAGCTTTTCCCCGGAGTTTTCCCCCGCAGTTTCTCCCGGATTTTTTTCCGGACTTTTCCTCCAGAGCATTCCCCGGACTTTTGCGCGGACTTTTTCCCCAGAAGTTTTGCCTGAAACAGCTGGTACACATTTGTTTATGCTCAAAACGCAACCGCAATCTTCTCAATGTAGTTTGTAGCAAATTAATGTTTAATTTTTAATATTAATTTTTTGCTTATTTTTTCACGAATATTCGTACAAACTATATTGAGGGGGTGTAATCAGATTTAAAAAAAATAGTTAGTCAATTTTTGTCAAATTTGGGGCCAAAAAAAGAGAAAAGTAGGTTTTGATGAATGAATGTAATAGAATTTTTTCGAAAAAGACCCGAATTAAATCTGTCAATAAATATGTTCCTCAATTTTTTATACGTGTGTATCAATTTGACATGGTACACACACACTGTATATTTTGCGAGCACACTCTCAACAGCGTGTAAAAGATGAAATTGCCGCTTCTAACACTTGTTTCCCAATCATTTACTTCGCGACGTACACTGAACAGCGTCCTGAAAATTTACTGGACACTGAAAACAACTATAACATTATCATGTACCAGAAACAAGCATTTTCCTACGGACAATTGCCTACAGGTGCCAAAATTCTAAACGGTACGAATATACTTTAACAAAATTGCCACTATTATACACATTTAGATTTACTAAATTTATGAGATACGAATGGGTGACAAATTGGTGTAAGTTGGATTAGTCAAATTTTCAAACATATTTTCATGAAACCATTAAACAAGATAAAATATTAGAATATTGTACAGGGTACATCAAAACTACGATCTAAGGTTAAGAAGTGTTTTAAAGAAAGATTTTAAAAGTTCTCAAAACAATTGTTGTACCTCTAAATATTTTTGCAGCGCCAAAAAGTTTTACAAGGGAGAGCAAAGATAATATTTATTTATATTTTAAACAGTTTATGCAGTATAGTCCAGTTACTCACGGTTTTTACCTCCGAATTCTTTATAACTGAACCGATCGACGTGAAATTTTGACTGAATGTGGGGAATGCCTCAAGGTACAAAACTTATATAGTGCCGAAGTGTGCTTTTGCCCTGGGGGTGGTTCCCACGCCTTCTTGGGGGTGGACATTTTTATGCCCAAAATAATCACATGAATCGATAGAGGAGTCAATTTTTAGTAACAAATGTTATATAAAGTTTTTTGGATAATCCAATCCTTTCCGAGTAATTCGTCATTGAAAATGTTGATTTTTTACTAAAAAAGTGCTTGTTTTCGGACAGTTTTTTGCCAATAACTCTGAAACCATTGGATTTAACGAAAAAGTTGTAATGAACAAAAAGAAAGGTAATAAAAAACAAATCTAATGGCATTATTTTGTTTTTCTCTAATTGCAATATAAACAGAGTTATGGATTTTTAAACATTATTATATGTGAGCTAAAAACTAAATTGGAACCAGTTAACGTTAAATAACGCCAAAACCATAAATATTAGGAAAAAAC